TGAAAAGAAACCTGTAGCCGCTCTTTCCTCCACCTGCACTCTGCTCTCCTACACTGCTGTCTAAAGGCTTGAGTGATGTCACTAAGCCAAGGTTCTGATCTAAGTTTTGTTTTTTTGGTTGATCTGTGTTTTGGGTCTTCTCCACTGATGAAGATTTAATGGACGTGAGAAGGCAAATATGTTGGTGGTTAATGCTGATTTATGTAAAGTGTTATGGAAGCTATGTTTGCATGAGCAGGTGGAGGTACAGACCCATCAGGGATCTAAAATATTCCTGCTGATTCCAGTACAGTGTCTGATTAGGACTTTGGACAGTTTTTAATATCTAATATTTGCTCACACATATCCAGATCTACTTTTTATTCTTTCTCAGATCTGAGTGGGCTGAAAATACAAGTTGCAATGTGAACTCCACTCACACAGTCATGATGAGAGACATTCAAAGCAGCTCAAAGTCAAGCGTAATATGCAAACTGTTCAGGGTTTAGTAAACACTAAATCACTGTTGTTTTAGTGCACGTGCATCATAAAGTGAGAAAGAACCAGTTGTTGTCTGCAGGGTGATGTCATCAAACTGACTCTGTGGTTAACAATCATTTTAATTTAAAATTACTTCCTTCATATTTAGTTATCCATACAATACTTTAATTGATTAGAATTGTTTCTCATCTTTATATTAAAGTTAAGTTAGTTTGAAGTGGGGTTGTGTGAGGTTCTGCTGCGTAGTCAGACTCTTATCTGTAGCAGACAGAGGAAAGTGTGAAGTGCCAGCAGCTCGTGATCTCAAACAACCTGAAGAAGCTGCAGAATACTTGTAGAGCGGTGGTTATATTGTGAGTCGTTCACTGAGGTCACAGTTGTTTATTTACACCCATGTTCTCTCAAGTAAATCAGTGTTGGCCAGATTGTGCTGCCTGTCTGTGGATTAACTGTGCAGTTTTAGTACAGTCCAGATGTTCTGTTCCTCTCTGCTCACTTGTTGTAAAGGAAATGGACCTGTTGTCAAACTGGAACCTGAAGTTAATTTTCTAAAAGGGATGCACAATATTGGATTTTTGGCCAATATCTGATATGCCGATATGTAAAAACTTATTTGGCGGATAACCGATACCAATAGCGATATTTTTTCCCTAGACCTACTTACATAGCTTTCTCTGCTGTGGAATTAAAATACTACAATACTCTTCATGGTTTTTGTCAATTTGACCTGCTACCAAATGCAGATGCCAAAAAGGGGACTGAAACTGATGTAACGCTTCAACTTGAATTATGTTTAATGCCAAATTTATTCATGACATTTACTCTCTAAGACAATGACAACACTCGAACAGTGCAAATTTGTACATTTTCACCTTTATAT